GGTGAAGAAACTGGGACTGACATATGAAACAAGCTTGTTTCAAATTAAAATAAAAAGTATTATTAAAAAAAAGAAAGAAAGAAGCGCCTCCTTGGATTAACAATTAATAAACAGGACCTCACAAAACTGAAAGCTTCTGTAAGGCAAAGGACACCACCATTTGGGCAAAGCATTAGCCTACAGAAGAGGAAAAGATTTTTACCTACTCTACATCCAAAATATATAAAGAACTCAATAAACTATACATCAAAATAATAATCCTATTAACATGGGTACAGATCTAAACAAAGACTTCTCAATAAAAGAAACTCAAATGGCTGAGAAAGACTTACAAAAGAAATGTTGAGCACCAGGAAAATGCAAATCATCTCACACTTGTTAGAATGGCTGAGATCAGTAACACAAGTGGTAGCTCACGCTGGAGAGGGTGTAGAGTAAGAGGGACACTCACATGCTGCTGGTGGGACTTGTAAGCCACTGTGGACATCAGTATGGCCATTCCTCAGAAAGATGGGAATCAGTTTACCGCAAGATCCAGCCACACCCAAGGGATACTCCATCCTACCACAAGGACACCTGGCTCAGCCATGTTCATTGCTGCTCTCTCCATAATACCCTGAAATTGGAAACAACCTAGATATCCATCAATGAGTGAATGAATAAATAAATAAAATGTACAATTAAACAATTGAGTATTACTCAACTCTTTAAAAAAAAAAAATCACGAAATTTCCAGACAAATGGATGAAACCAAAAAAAAAAAAAAAAAAAAAAAATCCTGACCCTGAGTGAGATAACCCAGACCCAGAAAGATAAATATGGTATGTATTTGCTTATATGTGGATATTAACTATTAAATAAATGATAACAAAGCTGCAATCAATGAATCCAAAGAGGTTAGGCATAGAGGAAGTGAGTAGGAAGGACACATGGATCTCCCTGAGAAGGGGAAATAGAATATATTTTATGGGTAGACTGGGGAAAGGATGGGACTGAGATCAGGTGGGGAGGGGGATGGGAGATGGGGTAGAGAGAGAGGATTCCAGGGACAGACAGCTAGAATTGAGGGGCCTCTGAGGGGCGATATGCAAACCTAGTGCAATAGAGACTTCCTAGAATACATGAAGGTGATCCTAATGAATTCTCCAAATAATGATGGAGATTGAATTTGTTACCAAATGAAGCTTCCAGTACTGGGACTGGGATACATCTGATTGAGTTGCTGGTCAGGGGGTCCCATAGAAATCTCCCCAAACAACCTGGGGTGTGGCCAAGACCATTGGTTCCTCTCCACAAACTGACAGTGGAGCCCCATTGCTGAGGACAGCACCCACACAACCCACTGAACATGGAGAGGGTGAGCTGGTGCCTACACAGACACTTCACCCTCATGTTCCAGTGTCTTTGGTACAGGAAGGTACTGTGCAGGCCACCAAAAGAGAAACATAACCCAGCCCAGCCACAAACCCTTTGATCTACAGCGCTGTCCTGCCTGCAAGTTATGCTAGGGCAATGGCGGCACAAAGCTTATGGGATTAAACAACCAGTGTCTGGTTTGGCTTCACGAGATGGAACCCATACCTGACACTGCTTGGACAACCAAAACCCAGAGGTCCTAGGGGAAAACCAAATACTACTAAAAGAAACAATAAAATGACTCCCAGTAGTATTCTTCTATACTGATAGATCGGTGCCTTACTCAGTCATCATCAGAGAAGTTTCCTCCTGCAGCAGATGGGAACAAATGCAGAGACCCACAGCCAGACATTATGCAAAGAGAAAGACCTTGGAACACACAGCTGTAAATGGGATGTCTCCATCAAACTTCTCCCCTCAGAGCTCAGGACCCATGGTGAAAGAGGGGGCAGGAGGGACATGGGAGCCAGAGGGGAATGGAGGGCACCGGAGAACAAGGCCTCTAAATCAACTGAGCAGAGCTCACACGAACTCACAGAGACGGAGGTGGCAAGCACAGGGCCTGCACAGGTCCTCTGCGCACATTTCATAGCTTTCAGTATTTTTATGGGACTCCCGAGAGTGTGAATGAGTGCGTCTCTGGTTCTGGTGTCTTTTCTGGGACTCTTTTCCTTCTGTTGGTTTGACTTGCCCAACTTCCATATGACAATGTTTCTGTTATATCTTAATGAATTTTATTATATTCTGTTTGGTTGTCATCTCTTAGAAGCCTGTTCTTTTCTAATGATGGACAGAAAAGGAGTGGATCCGGATGGGAGGGAACTGGGAGGCGTAGAGGGGAGGGAACTGTAACCAGGATGTACTGAATGAGAAAAGAATCTATTTTTAATAAAAGGGGAGTAAAAATAAGGAGGTGTCTCATTCTCCTATGTCCACCACTGAACACTTGGTCAGATTAGTTACAGGTTATAGCAAAGACTAGATTATTAGATTTATTTGAACTTCCCTGAAGGTGATAATGGCCCTGTGGCTGGGAAGAAAATGTTCCTGTCTTTAGGAAATGTCGTGATACTGACTTTTATTTCCAAATGGATCAGTAAAACGGTGTGTAAACAGAAACATGTACAGATACATTAGTAAGAAACAAAAGGCAGATAGATCTAGGCAACTGCTGGATTTAGGTAATAGGGACACAGGTGTTCATTTGCTATGCTTTCAATTTTACTGCACGTTTGAGCTTTCTTCGTGTTGAGTGGGGAAAAGACTTGGTGAGCTTAAACAGCAGATGGGAAACAAGCAGGAGACCACCAGGAGCTGGAAGATGAAGCAAGAGGCCCTAAAGAGGGAGACACTGAAGTTCACGGCACACTCAAAGGGAAGAGAAAACAGAATGCAGGAAAACACTGAAGAGAAAACTACTGAGAATTTCCAGACATGAATCTTCACATCACACAATAAGCCTCAATGAGACATGTAAACATAAATTCACATCTAGACACGCCACACTGAAATGACCAGAGTGCCACAGAGAACAAGAAAAACCTAGAGAAAACTCTAACGGAAGACTTCTCAACAGCAGCAACGGAGGTGGGAAGACACCTTCAGAGAAGCTAGAAAAGTAACAATCGATTGGGAACTTCCCAGCTAAAATCAGCACTAAAGGTAAGCAGAAGATAAAGACTTCCAAGTTTCTTCATTGAGCAAATTACTGGAGAGCCTATTTCAGGAAAAAAGAAAAGACACGAGAGCTATAAGAAACTGGAAAGCAAGTAAGTAAAACTAAATGATAATGGACAATAAAAGGCAATAAAAATAGTAACAACCACACCCACTGGGAACACTAAAAACAAAGGGAAACACAACTACAGACATGGGACAGAGAAACAGTAGCAAAGCGATCACCAGGCTCAGCCTTCTCCTTCCTGGGGGGTAGACTGATCAGGCTTGAGCTGTCAAGGCAACCACCATAAAGATTTAGGAGTAACTGCAGAGACTATAACAACACCTTGTGTGATCTCCAAATCAGAGGAAAGGAAACAGCAGTGCACTCTGACGGAAGTGCGCCGCCAGAAGGCAGCTAGGCAGCTTCCCATGGGTTAGGCTCACCATCTGACTCCGCAATGATAATCTGAAGCACATCAGGCCAAAGAGAGCAAAACATGCACAGGAATGTCCACACAGTAGCCCAAGGGCACAAGTTACCCAAACGCCTGTCCTGTCGGTAGGTAAGTGAAACAATGCCACACAAAGGAATGGATACTGAGCATGCTACAATGCCAATGAGCCACAAGGGAATCAGACAGACAGTAAAGGTCACATACCACACAGTTCCATTTGTGGGAAATGTCACACATTGCCCACTGCCTGGAGCTAAGAGGGGTGGGACTGGGAGGAACTGCCTAATGAATGAATAAGGGGTCTTACTTGAAGAGAAGAAAGTGTTTTAGAACTATAGAGTTGGTGGTTACATGACTGCACTAAAGGTTTACTTTATAATAGTCAATTCAAAGAAGAAGAAAAATAAAGAAAAAATGGAAGCATACAATATAACAAGACAAAGAAAAGCTGTTATGCCAGTAACTAAGGAAGGTGAGTTGATTAACCTTGCACTGAAAACACAGACACTTGGGTTGGAGGGATGGCTAGAAAGCCATCTGACTGCTCTTCCAGAGTGTTCAAGTCCCAGCACCCACGTGGTGGCTCACAACCATCCCAAACTCCAATTCCAGGGGGACCCAGCGCCCTCTTCTGGCCTCTGCGGGCACTGCATACACGTGGTGCATAGCCATAATACCCATACAACCCATATACATAAAATAAAAATAAATCTTATTCCGATTGCAATTTTTCTTACTTCCTGTGTGTTCTTTCAAGAGAAATGATATGATACAAGAGCTTAACAGCAAAACACAGGAAATATGCCACTTATATACTAGCTATTCTAGAGTTCCAGAGACAAAAATGTTACTTTGGAATTAGACCATTGTTAGTGATGAACCTATTTATTACAGAATTAAAAAGTGAAAATCTGGCCAACATTAATCCCTCCTAACAGCAGTCCCAAAACATAGGACAAAAGCTTTGGCAGAGCAAAGGGAGAAAATGTTCAGCCTGTAACTACAGTAGGAAAATTTAGCACATCTCTTTCAGGAAATAATACCTCAAATGGGGGTGGGGGCAACTAAGAATCAAGAATATTTTAAAGTAAAAATAACAAGCTTGATTTAACACATCGAATTATTACACGATATATACTCTTGGCAAGTCCATAGGATTTAATTATAAAAGCTGAACATAAGCAAGCTGGAAATCTCAAAACATTACAAGCTGTATTTCTGACTACAAAGAATTTTTTTTAATCCAATAATAAAGAATAGCTCCTCTACCCTCCTCCCCAAAAAGAATCTGTGCGTTAGTAATTCTAATGAAATGACAGTAGAAACTAGAAACATTTCAAAATGGTTAACGCTAACAACTCAACTCTGGGAAGCAGTTAAGTGGTGAACAGTGGGAAATGAGCGATATAAGGAACCCGGTTGTGAAAAGTACAGCAAAGAGGCAAGCCCTCAAACAGCAGGGCTCACCAGGAAAGAACAGCGCAGGGAAGCAAGAATAAGTCTAAAGCGAGCATCATCTGTGGCACGGCAGTCCCCAGAGCCAGTTCTCTGAAGAGAGCAACAGAAACGCGCCAGCCTGGTTCATCCTGACTGACAAGGAGAACGGACAACATAAATAGCACTAAGAAGGCAAGGAAACATTTAAAACTGAGTATCTTCGGTAAGAAGCAAGTAAACAGGGTCAAAAGGAAGCATTTGAAAACTAACAAACTGGACCGTTTTCTCGAGAAATCTCAAAATTGGGCTGGTGAGATGACTCAGTGGGTAAAGGACTTGCCATACAAACCTGGCGACCAGAGCACAGACCATTCCACAAAGCTGATCTCTGAGCTTTGCATGAGTGTGCGTGTGCATAAGCACACACACACATACACACACACACTCACGCACACACATATTCACACACACTCACGCACACACATATTCACACACACTCACACATACTCACTCACACGCACACACTCACACACACACTCAGGCACACACACACATACTCACACACACTCACACACACACCCACACATACACAAATTGACTCAAGAATGAAGAGAAAATCTGAAACTACAGTCATTTTTAAAAATCACTAGCATAACTATCTGTCTGTTAATGGACTAAATATTGTTAACTGTGATTCTTATTAGATAACTGTTATGTTATATATTTTGCTATGATAAGGTTAAAACCCTTATTTTTATTTAGACAGAAAAGAGGAGATGATGGGAGATGTCATTCTGTATATATGTTTCTCATACTGGTTAATGAATAAAGCACTGTTGGCCAATAGGAAAGGAAGATAGGAGGGACTAGGAGACAAGGAGGAAATAGGAAGTAGGAAGGAGGAGTCAGCATGGGGAGTCTAGAGAGCAGTACGCGGCAGCCGGCTCCGGGTAAGAAGACCACGTGGAAATACATAGATTAACACAAATGGGCTAATACTTAAGACAGAGCTAGCCGATAAGAAAGTAGTAACTGGCCAACAGCATAATATCAAATACAGAGTCTCTGTACATTATTTGGGGCTGGTGCGGCGGGCGGAACCGTACTCGTTACATCCCACTTCAACAGACACACGCACATGCATGCACACGCACACAAAGGAATCTTGGTGATTTTGCCACCAAATCGACAGAGCTCTCCCCAGTTTCCACTCCGAATGTAGCACGTGTTCGACCCTGGGCCCCACTTGCGCAGGAGAGGCAGATTTCTTGCTCATGACTGCATCAGTTTTCTCATTGATACAAATCTTCCCTCAAAGAAGGTTCTGGAAGCTGAGTCATTGTGCCAAGGACATGCAGAGTCCAGCTCCCACCACACACACACACACACACACACACAGCAGCAGCTGCTACCAGTTAGCTGAGACACAGGAGGATGCAAGGATAGCCTTGACTCCAAAAACTCACACGAGCTCACATAATATGAAACAAAATCCTGGACAACTGCACTGTCATGAGTTTGAAGAAAATTATGACCCCACAGTGATGTAAGAAATTGACAATAGAAAATTTAATAATGTAATTCCCACCAACACAAGAGAGACCTAAAATATGACATAACTCCAACAGATGCTGAAAAGGCACTTGGTCAAAACAAATACCCACAGACAGTCCTAGGGAAGAGAACTCTGGGCACGCTCAAGGGAGAGGATGGCTTTTTGAACCCTGTGTCCATATCCATAGTACTAAGTGTCCCATTCAAGGTGCACTAGAGGCGTGCAACAAGGAAAGGGACATCGAGAGCCATCGAGGAGTCTGGCCAAGCAGTCAAAGACTGCACACACCAAAGAAGACTGCCATCGCTGGCTGAATACTAATTGAGTCTCATGCTGCCGCCATTTTATCTGAGGCGCTCCAAGGATGCTAACCTGGGGCAGCTCTGAGGTGCTCTAAGGATGCAAACATCTGCTGATCCTGGGCATCAGCCCTTCAGACACATCCTACTCCAGGCCCCTCGGAGGAGCCCTCTGAGCGCTGTGTGCTGCTGTTTTCCTGCATTTCCAGCAGAAACCTTGCACTTACAGACTGTCCTGTGGAGAAGCAGCCAGCCTTTGTGCATCCCATCCTCAGGCCAGCGGATAGGAAAGGCTTCCTTAAGACCTCCCAGTGCTCCACAGCAGTTTCTCTTTCTTTCCCCTTGCTGTCCCCCATCTCTCTGGTTTCCTGTGTATTCCAGCTGAGGTCCCCATGGGAAAGTGGAGCAATGCTGGGCCACCTGCTGGAGTTCCTAACAAGCTCCGGTGGGGAGAGGAAGGGAGTTAGTTACCGGGCATCTCACCTCTGGTGGCCAGTGTGATGGGTGGGAGATGTCCGAGCCTACGGAGGGGCTTCCTATGCCTTCCTCTACCACCGGATCACAGAGAACACGAGGTCTGCGGAAGGACTGGAGGTTGTCAAGAAGTCACTGTGTACCCTACCCATCACAATGTGTAGCGCAGCGACTTCAACCAGTGTGCTTGTTAGTTCCCAAATGTCAGCCTTCAGAATAGAGGCAATCCTTTTCTCTTCCTCTCCAACCCTTTCTCTTTTCTCTCCCCATCTTTTTCCTTTCCTCTTGAGGATGTGGAAAACCTGACTATAATTGGCTGGTCTGATTGTTTCCTGTAAGAAAACTCTGCTTAGAACACTACGAAAACAATCTGCCTTAACAATTCAACCCAAATAAATGATCTTCCTGCGACTGGTGCAAATCCCTAATTGGGAATTGGGCTGCATACCCAGGTCTCTCTCATCCGGGTCCATGATGACGAAGGTTGGACAAAGATAGGCATCACCCGGTGGTGACAGATTGGGGGTGGGGCACTGAAGGCCCTGCATCCTCCTGGAAAATCCATCGGCCCAGTATCTAGCTGGAGAGAACATGCGTTGTACCCCGGCCTCCTGAACCATTGTTCTTTGGGTGATAATTTCTCAGCTTAACTCTCTTTCCGTATGTGTCCCTCCTGAAATGCTTTGGCACACGCCCTTGACAAGAAGTATGCAGAGGCCGGGCAAGATCCAAGATCACGTCCAACATTTCTCCTTCCTGTATATCTATTCCATGAGTCAAGCTGGATTCTGGAACATTCCAGGAACAAAGAAATTTACCCTACTCTCACGTTCAGAGGGTTCCTTCAAGGGCACACAGTTTGCAAAACAAAACTGGACTAGCTATGACCTTCGCTCATATTGTGCTCGTTTCTTCCTCTTGGGCTCCTGGCTTCTGTGTACAGTTAGTATTGAATGAATGCTGTCTCTGGACCTAGATGTGCCTCATTTGTCTGGGAAGTTAGAAAGCCATTCAGATCTCGTCTAACCTGGAAGCCTTATGGCAGTGGGTCTCAACCTTCCTAATGCTGTGACTCTTTAACACAGTTCCTCATGCAGTGGTGACCACAACCATAAAACTGTTTTTATTGTTGCTTCATAACTGTACTTTTGCTACTGTTATGAATCGTGATGTAAATATCTGATATGTAGGACATCTGACATGTGACCCCTGTGAAGGGGTCATTTGTTGGGCCGAGAACCACTGCCTTAGAGGAGTGGAGTGAGAGGGAGCACAGTGTTTTTCCCAAGAACCTGGGAGCAGGCATGGCCAGGCACACAATCCTGGGCTGTAGATGCTCTGATCTATTCACTTTCAAGTATCCATGCTGGAAGCTGGAGACCTTGCTTGTTATCTCCTTACTACCTAAGCTACATTAGGGCAGGTCTTCCTTCAGGGAACACCATTGGGCAAGGCTCTGTGGTCCTCACTCTGTTTACCCTTGCTCAGGGCTGAAGTTTCTAGGTGTGGTTGAGTTCAGCTCTGCTAGGTAACTGATGCCAAGAGTCAGGAATTCAATAAATAGTGAGAAGAGTCTGGTGTGGTGGTGCACGCCTTCAATCCCAGCACATGGGACAGAGACAGGCAAGAGCTCTATGAGGTCAAGGCCAGCCAAGTCTACATAGCAAGTTCCAGGACAGCCAGAGCTACATAGAGAGTCTGTCTCAAAACAAACAAACAAACTGTAGAGGAGAACGAGCATCTTCTTGGGGGGAAAGTGGTCACTGTGGATTGCATCTCTGGACCACGGCCACATGCGTCAAAGCAACCCATCTTCTGACTGAGGCAGACAGTTCACAAAACACAACGATGCCAGTCCATGATCCACTTTTACCATGGCCTTGCCATTGCCCCTCTCTCCACTATGATGGGCTACCAGGTTCAACCAAGCCCACTCATGCATGATGAAAAGCTGGATGGACCCCAAATGCTGAAGAAGTGATGAGAAGGCTGACCCATGCAGCATCACGTATTCCAGAGGTGAGCAGGGCCCAGCCTACACTGCCAGCCAACACAACCTTTGAGGTCACCTGTGCCTGAGACTCCCCGACTCCTGGTTGACCTCCCCAGTGGCATGAAGACCCAACAGAAATGACTTCCCAGGTCTGTCTCCCAAGGATGGTAAGAGAGCCTGGGCTAGAAAGGACTGTCTCCATAACCCTGCCCCTGCTCCAGGGACTCTAAGGTCATCCTCTGAGTTATAAAAGGTTCCAACAGGCTGCCTGGAAGGCATTGCATAAGTGGCTGGGGTTTCCACAGTGGCTAGGAAGCTGTGTGGGGATGTTTACCTAGCTGTGAATAGAAGCCACTTTGGGGCAGCAGTCCTCCCTTACTGTCGCAATAAAGGCCAAAAAACATATCCAAGGGAAGGAGCCATGCCAAGGAGAAAGGTCTACTTATCCTTGGCCCCATCAATCATTCAATCAACTTAGTTCTGTTTGGTTAAGTATGCAAAAAAAAAAAAAAAAAAAAAAAAAAAACATAGTGTAAAACAACTTCTAGGGTGACGTATTTTCATTTTGGACACACAGAACATTCCCAGCTGACCATATTCATTAAAGACCTGTAAGGGTCAAGTGTGAAACAGTGCTGTCTGGGTCACAGCAAGCTGAACAGTCATTCAGAAAGAGACAGATGAGAAAGCAAAGTGTTAGATGACACTTCGGATGATGTCTCCTGGACTAGCTCTCCCTCCCTGTGACAGTCTAAGTGTTTTAAATGCCATCTTTGCCTCCATGGTGGCTACTGTCCCTATCCCCAGGCACCTACAGGCAATTCTCACAAAGTCCTGTGCAAAGCAATGGGGCTCTCAGCCTTGTCTTTACAAATGAGGACACTGAGGCCCAGGCTTCAGCTGCCCCCCCCCCCACTCACAGGTCTGTGGTGACATAGAGGACAGGGGAAATCCTGCAGTAAATGTTTTGCAGAGCCTTGTCACATGATAGGTAGACCCCTTACTTCAAGATAACAATTTATTTCTACAATATGGAAGTGTATTAATTGCATCCAAAAATTATAAAATACAAAATTATAAAAACTCAAATTGGGCTCCAGGAGCCGTCCTTTATAAAGAGGTCTCAAAATGTATACATGCCATTTTTTATTGTTAGAGAAAATTTGCAAAAATGAGATTATTTTTATGCTTTCTCATAAAAAGTCCACCCAGCTAGGTAGGCCTAATGATCCAGGCTTATAATCTCAACCACTCAGTAGGCTGAGGCAAGAGGATCACAAATGCAAGGTGTGCCAAAGCTATAGAATGAATACCTTTGAATAAATAAACACAAAGTAGAAGGGGCCAAGATTTCTCAGTTGGTAAGAAATACATACAGCCATGAGTGTTTGAGTTTAATCTCCAGCAGCCAGGGGAAAGCTGAGCATAGAGCACACACCTGTAATCCCAGAGCTAAAGAAGCAGATGGAAAGACCCTGGGGGCTTGCTAGCCAGCCAGGCTAGCCAGGTTGGCAAGCTCTAGATCCAATGACAGGTCCTGTCTCAAGAAATAGGGTAGAGAGCAAATAAGGAGGACACCCAATGTTGACCTCTGGCTTCCATACATACCGGCACACATGTATGCATAAACATACCCATGAAATTTTCAAAGTTGAAAGGAATGAAAGGGAAGCTCAGTGGTCAAGAACCTACCCAGCATAAATAAAAGCATGTATACAGCTCAGTGATAGGGAGCCTCCCAGCATGAATAAAGCTGGGTTTAATAATCAGGAAAAAAAATAGTAAGAAAGAACTCTAAGGGGCCACCCAGACACATGGGCAAGTATCGGGCCCATGGATTCTGAATCAGTGTCTGAAACTGTCCTGGGTCCAGGATGTGTTCATGGTAGGATCAAAAGTGTAATCTCAGGCATGCCAGGCAGGAGCTCTGCCACAGGGCTACGCCTTCAGGCCCTTCCGTCCCTGCTGTCACCCCCTTTTTAGAGACAGGGTCTTGCTACATTGCTCTGACTAATCTTGGACCTTGAGCATGTCTCTCAAGTAACTGGAATTACAGGTCTTCCCCACAAGGCTGACTCTGATATCTTTTTAATTAATTTTTCTACTAATCCTTTAGTCCCTGCAATCCATGACCCGTTGTAGCAGGTGGACGATCAGAGTTCTCTTTGGGCACACAGGCCCTGGGAAGCCTCGCTCTTCCCCCAGTTTGGACAGAGAAAGGACACACCAAAACACTGGCTTCCCAGCCCCTCTCCCTTCCATCCCACATTGCCAGTTAAGGGAAAAGAACCTCCAGGAAATTTCGACCTACTCCTACAGCACAGAGGACAAACTGTTTTCTGGATGTTTCTTAGAAGAAGGAGAGGGAAGACGGTGCCTCAAGAAGTTGCCTCGTTCACCTTATACCACTTAACACACAGAAACCAGAGAGCTGTGGAATCTTCATGAGTAAGCCAGGCCCAACTTAGAACCAGCTCACCATGAACTAAAATTAGATGTGTCCCTGAGCCAGCGAGGCTGTCTCCTGTACCTCTCCTGGCAGCTGCTTTCACCAGAAATGAGCTGTGAATATTTCTAGGTCCAAACTAAAGATGCCCTCCCTCTCAGCTCCTCCTAGCTCTAATGAGCTGCTATGGGAAGCCTGGCAGGTGAGGTATTCACTGAGAAATTGGGCCGTGGCTAAGAAGGCAGCTCTTCAGGACTGGTCTGGGGAGCGAGCATCATTGCTGAAATTTCTTCTGAGTCCCAAAGCTGGAGAGCACACAACTGCCTCAAGACGTCAGAACACAGCGATTGGAGATTCTTAGCACGGGCCACATTTCCCTCTGGACCCTAAGTGGTACAGTATTTTGTGGCAGTTTGTAAGGGGGTAGTAAAACTTCTGCCAAAGCCTGGAGTGGTGGTGCATACTTTTAATCCTAGCACCTGGGAGACTGAGGTAGGCAGATCTCTATGAGTTCAAGGTCAGCCTGATGAGTTCCAGGACAGCCAGAACTATATTAGTGATACCCTGTCTCAAAAACACATACACACATTTAAAAATAATAATAATAAGCAAATCCAAAACCTTGTCATAGTAGAATGAAGCCCTTGGAAGACCGGGCTTGATTGGATTCTGAGGATGTGAATCTAATGAGACAGATGTGTATCTCCCAAGTCCCCGAGTCCCTGCTTCCCTGGCTTCATCCCCCTGCCATCAACCCTCCCAGGGCAGGCCACATCCAGAGGCAACGTCCAAAGTCTAGACTGCAGCCCCCGAATCATGTAGGCAAGAAATGGTCCCAATTAAACCGCCAGCAGGAAGAGCTTTGACCAATGGTATCTGGAGCTCTTTCCAGAATAAATACAAATCTTTTTGAAGCAGCTAGAACCACGCCAAGCAGTCTGCTGTTGGAAATGTCATGTTGAACCTCATGAGGTATGTCTCATCAAAGGGTCAGGGTTTCAACAAAACACCGGGGGTCAGAAGTGGGTTCCGGGCCTTGCAGGATGAATGGGGGGGCAGAAGGTGTGGGGAGGGCTGAAGCCAGTTTCCCAGTGGCACACTGCTGCCTGTGTAACTGGCGCCGGTTCTGTGACATCCATGATTCCTCGGAGCCATCCCTGCATGGCAAAGGGGGTTGCGGG